TATATATATTAATATGTATTAATATATATATTAATGAATATATGATATGAAATTATATATATAAATTATAATATTTAAGTTAATAAATCACATAACATATAACCATCACCGCACACACAACTTACACATCACATCACATAAACAACTATAATCAGCCAACACATCAACCACCACCACACACACTACAACATAACAGCGTATAAACTAACACACAATCTGAGCACCCGACTACAACACACGCAACGCTACACGCAAAACTCAACAACACACACAAAATATATATTATTATTATATATATTATATATAATAGATAACTATATATAGTATATTAGTATGATTAAATAAATTAATATATTATATATGGATATATATTATAATCTATATATATTGAGTGAGTGTATATATACGTGAGCAATAATAAATACACACTAATTGTGATATTTATTTAGAGTTCTGGACTATTCATAGCACTTGAGATAATACTTTAGTTATATATAGTATGTAATAGTCAATTCACGACGAAGCCCTTTGAATAGTGAGAATGAAGGGAATAAAGACTAAGAAGCGGTATATTAATTGTTTTCCTGATAATTAATATTCTTCGAAAATGTTAGGAAGGTCTTCTACCACTGTCACTTCCCGGCCGTCTAGAAATAAATATTGACTAAAAGCGCATTATATATATATTAATTAATTATATATATATATATATAATATTAATATGTATATATAAACAAACACAAACAACGGCACACCACACACACAAACACAATATACATACACACACACAACCACACACCCTACACACACAACATGCCACCACACAGACACACCACACAGCACACACACACATAATATTGCACACATGCATCAACGACACAAACACCCCATACACACTGCACAACTACACACGCCAACACACAATACTACAACACACACACACACAATCCACACACACACACACACATACAAACACATCTAACCACACAACGCACATCGCACACACACATTACACCATCACACATAACACACACACACAACACACACACACACCACACTAACACACATACACACTAACACACCACACACACACCACACAAACACACATCACGCACACGCACACACACTAACAAATATTATATTAATGTATATTAATATATGTTATTTTTTTGAGTTTTTTTTTAAACTAAATCCACATAGTATGTTTCCATATTATATGTATATATAGGTTCCCGATTGAAATATATAATGATATCACGTTACATAAGTCAAATATATGTTATAATATATATGTACCCACGACAAACACAAAAGCAACAAACACGCGACACACACACACACACATAACACATAAAGAACATCGTCACATCACAAACACACATCTACACACACACAACCACATAGATATATCACGCACACTGACGCACTAAAACACATTACAGCGTCACATCGCTCGACAACGGCCACACACACCCCACACAGCACACCACAGCACACACACACACACACCACACACACACCACACACACACACAACACACACACACACAACACACAGTCACACATCGACTATATACACGCAAAACACACACACACCACACACACACACATATAGTAATAATTATAGTCATATAATCCTATATATTATATATATATATAGTAAAAGTAACACAGATAACACAACACTCATACAACACCAACTATTAGAAATGTAGGGAATATATATATAGATATATTAGTATACTATTATGACAAATACGAGCAAATTATTTATAGTATATAATTATTATATATATATAATATACATATAATTATATGTAAATTATATAATGTCCCATATGATTAATCGATTTTTTAATACAAGTATATGATATATATATTTTTTATACTTTTAATGTCACTATATTTCATAGTATATATTTATAGCATATATATAAACTATATATTATAGCTATATATACAGTTATTACCATATATATATAAATTAATATATAATATACTATATATATATATTACTAAATATGCACTACATATAACACATCGAGTCGTACATTCATACACATATGTGTGATATATATATAATATATTATAATATATTCAAATAATAGCAAATACTATTACATCCCTATGTCATTTTACTCTGAACCGAACAACTAGCTTCACTACAACTTTTCTTCTATCCCCAGATAACAGGCCAAGCCGAAAAAAGAGATGTCCTATATATATATTGAGTAGCAGTTCACAGACGCTCACAACACACAACACACACATCACACACAACACTACAACACACACACACACACACACAACAGTCACACACACACACACACACACACACACACAACACTACAATTACACATATAGCCCTAAATCAAGACTTAGCACTGGACTAGAGTATAAGCTAGCATAGCGGTAATAAGCACACTAATATCTATGACCTTGTTAAATTATATTAGGAACTTTTAGTATATATTATTCGTCTAACTCTACTGCTCATTCTCATCACCACTCTCTACTCCTCCCTTCGTCCTTCTCCTCCCGCTGCTTTCTGCTTCTTTCTGTGACCCGATTGCATCTTCATTCGTTACCATTTCGTCAGATATAGATAATTATTGTGAATATTAATAAATATATATAAATTATATAATATATATAACATTATATTATATTAATAATCTATTATATTAATATATAATATATTAATTATTAATATGATATATTACTCTCTTACTTGTCATCTCATCCTTCATTCTACTTGGTCCGTCTCGTCTCTTGCTGTCTCTCTCCTCTCTCTCCTCCGTTTTTGCTCGCCCTCCTCTCCTATATGTGATATGTCTGCTGTGCGTGTGTGTGTTAGTATTAGTATGTAATACTATAATATAGTATGTCTATGTGTGATATATATGTGATGTGATTGTGTGTATATTATTACTGTGTGGTTATACATACATTATTAAGCGTATATGTTGATAGTTGTGTGTGTATTTAGTTAGGTGTTATACATATAATATATATTTGTTGGTGTATAGTATGTATTGTATGTATTATGATGCTTATATATTAGTAAGTTAGTATATGTGTGAGCAGTGAAGAGTAAGTATAGAGTTAGTATATATGAGAGACGTAGAAGAGAATATAGAATATATATAGGATATGAAGAGATGGATATCCAGAACTCTCCTCGATTCTCTCTCGGATCTCTCTCTCTCATCTCTGCATCTCTCTATGCTCACGAGAGTCTCTAAGAATCTATAAAAACTGAGTGAAGATACCTAGAGAGAGAATGAGAGAGAGATAGAGATACCGAGAAGAGGGTATATAGATAGATGTCATGAGAGGAGACGAGAGTGATGAGAAGAGAGAATGAGAGAGTCGAAAGAGAGAGAGAGGTGGGTGGAAAGCAGAGAGAGGAGAAGGAGAGCACGAGACGAAAGAGAGAGAGAGATGAGAGTAGAGAGAAGAGAGAGAGGAGAGGAGGAGAATTGAACATGGAAAGTTTTAAATAGGGAGATATCACTCATAACATATCAACAAACCGTTTTGTTAACGAGGGATGATGATTATATAGATACAAATCAATAAAGATTTATCTTACTTACTTTTCTTTCATTCACATCATAAACAGCAATGGAAATCAGGTCTGTTCTACACTTTCATCATAAAAAGAGCGAGTTGACGTTTATATTCATGGTCCCTGGGAGAGGGTGGCAAGGAAGAGGTAAGGCGAGGTAAGCAGTGTTTACTTTCGGAAGGTCGAGACGTGTTATTCCATGGTATTATAATATGGGCTTGCATGCTGGTACAGGAAAGTGTTATTGTTATTGAGTAGATACAAAAGCTTTTATGGCCTGACTCTCTCGCAGAGGAGGATAGATTGATGTTCCATCTGCACATCACGTCCATTGGTTGTCAGTTGTCGCTCTCATATATTGTCATTGTTTATTGTTATTGCTATTGTTATTATTACTTGTAGTAGTAGCAATATTAGTAACGTTAACATAAACATTAATATCAACATTAACATTGTCATTAACATTATAATTTTCATTATTATTACCATTGTTGTTATTACTACTGCTTTTGTTAATATTATTATTACTATTAATGTCATCATCACTATCATTTATAAAGGGCACAGTGCCCATACAGAAGCAGAGTTACAGGAAAAATATTTAAGAAAAGAAGCAATAATTTTGTGGTGATTCGAAATCCTCAGACATTGCAGATCTGATTCCTTCATCAGCTCAGATCTTCAACGCATTTTTATGACCTTACATACAGTGTCTAAGATTATTAAAGATTTTGGTAAACTGATCTATTGCAACTCTGGAAATGAGTCATCAACGGTTTAACCCGATCACACCAAGCACTGAGGGAGATTTTAGGTGATGTTTTTATATGATATATATATCACAGCAAACAGGAAGATAACCCTATGCTGTGTGTAGGTTTGTTGGTGTGTCTGTAGGAATAAAGAAAATACACTGCGAGAAGGCCAAGGGAGACGTCACACTCGATCCTTCAGTGTTGTTTCCATCGTCAGGCAGAAGGAAATTCTTTTGGCAAGGCTGTGACTCAGACACACGGGGCTAATTCATGGTTGGGAAACGCCATTTGCAGCCACCCGTGATGTTTTGTTCGTAGGAGTGCAGGACCCTTTGGTCAAAGATTGATTTGCTTGCTTGCCTAACACTCGCTGGGACGTGTTTTAATCGTTTGGCTAATTTATTCGGCATGTGTTGATGTATGTATGTATTTTGTGAATAGGGGTTTGTACCTTAGGGGTTTGTACCTTAGTTTGTAATAGGGGTTTGGACCTTAGTTTGTACCTTTGTACCTGTGAATAGGGGTTTGTACTTTTTGTATCATAGGGGTTTGTACTCTACCTTTTTGTAGGCCTAAATTATCTTGTTTATATAATACATGCCTCAAATTTTGTTTTTCTTTTTACATTTAGTGTCCAATGTGAACGTTAGATTGGAGGTAAAGTAAAACAATATATATGCTTGATATCCTGATTATTGAAGCTGCAACAAGGAGCACCGTCACAGCGTCACAGCGCTCGGAAACGGAGGAACAGCCGTCCTAGTTGCTGTTCTGGGAGAAGCGGTCCGGGTACAGCAGCTTGTTCATCTTCCTCGGCAGGTTCCTCCAGAATTCGATGTCCTGAAAGAGGCGAAAGTGTATGTGACATCTATGCGAGGGGGGATTTGGACATTGCAATCGGAAATTACGGGCGTTGTTTGACAGCATACGAAACGCTTTCTGCTGATAAGCTATGTAATGCAAAGAATATGAATTATATTGTCCACATTGTTTCAGCAAGCATAAAATGGGGAATTTTGGGCACCGATTTCTTGCTAAAAGAATGGGCTCGCATCAGCGTGCTCGCGGTCCCCCCCCCCCCCACCCGATTTTTTTCGAGGCCCGAGCGCCGTACCTGCTCCCTGTCGTAGACCTTCATGGCGGGGGCGGAGGTGATGCCGAGGTAGGAGAGGCTCGAGGCCTCGGTCGGCGTCCACTTGAAGCCCAGGGACAGGTCGGGCGTCGGGTTCCTGCGAGGGAGATCGTTTAGTGGATCGTTTTAGCATTCTTTTGCCGACATATTTGCAAATTACGAAGCTCATTGTTTCCCCAAGAGCTGGTGTGCAGTAGTGTGCCACATCAGCTGCCGAGACTGACTCGCAAATCCCCGTCCTTGGACATCCCTGGAAAGCGTTTCCTCTCACCCGGTGGCGGCGAAGTTGGTCCAGAGATCCACCATGATCCGGGACACGAAGAGGTCCTCCTCCTTGGTCAGGCTGACGTTGAGCTTATCGAAGGAGAAGAGGTACTGCAGGTCGTCCGAGTCGCCCACGTCTGTGCGAGAGAAGCCTTTGTGTCGGTCGCCGCCAGAGCTAAATCCGTCACGTGGAGACGGACCAAAATGAAAACAGTAAAGAAACCTTATCCAAACCTGCATTTATTCACAACAAATTCGGGAAAGCTCTTGTCCCCGAGGAAGGGCTCCTCACAGGCCAGGTTCCACGGGCGAGGGCCCCCGGAACAGGTCGGAGAAGGCGTGCTCCCCGCGGTGCTGCAGCTCGTAGGCGAAGGCGCGGAAGCCGAAGGCGGCGTCGCGCGCGTGGTGCTCGACGGCCTCCACGTGGCACATGCTGTAGAAGCTGTCGCCGAGGAGCTGGGGAGGGGGAGGAGGGTCGGGGTCAGGCCGAGGTACTGACACTGAGGCGCAGTCGCTCCAAAGAGCATTTCTCACTCAGGCCCGTGGCGTCTGGCGATGCCCTGCTGGTCTTACCTTGACGAGAGGGTCGATCCTGGTCAGGTCGAACTCCATGGGCCCCAGGTACCTGTGGAAGGCCAGGCGGGCCAGGTACTCGGGGTCGTCGTCCCAGGCCTCGAAGCCGAGGGCGGGGGGCCACGAGGCTGAAGTTCTGGATCATGCTGTCCATGACGCCGTCCTCCACGAACGCTGAGGAGGAAGCGAGAAAGAGGTTCCCTTTTACTTCAAAGTTCGACCGCCAGGTGGCGAAATGCTGTGCAGCATATGCGGGGAAAGGAAGTCTTTATAAATGATTGAAATGGCATTTGTGGCTGCGAGGACGGAGCCAGGCGCCGGCCCTCACCTCTGGCGTTGAAGGCGCCTCGTCCCGCGTCACGCCGGAGAGGACGTCGACGCGGTTGTAGCGGCCTTCCCTGACCAGCGTGGCGGGGTGGGCGGGCAGGAACTCGCCGTCCACGCGGGGCGTCAGGACGTACGGGAGGGCTGTGGGCGGAGGCGAGGGTCACGTTTCCTTCTGTCCGTTTACTGATCCAGGGACGCATGAATGCACATAGACACACACACACTCAATAAGCCGTCCAGAAGGACGCTCGCTCACCGTGATGTAGGGCGTCACGGCCATCAGCTGCTCGACGGGGACGTCCCTGAGGCAGTCGACGAGCGCCGTGCTGTTGGCGGCGTCCGCGCGCTCGCCCGGACAGCCCACCATGCGGCCGAAGCCGAAGGCCACCTGCCGGTGGTCCTCCCGGAGCGCCCAGGGACACAGCGCCGCCCCCGACTGCATGATGGCTCGCTGGAAGAGGCCTTCGGCGGGAGAGGAAGGAAATTAGAGACGGGAGAAGTCTCTTTGGGCGACAAATTACGCATCTGCCATAGATGGAACGTGGATGAGCTTGAGATAATCTTTAGAAACCATCATATGCTCAAGGTCTGAATTCTCTCTGTCTACACATACATCCTTACCTCTTCCCCACATCTCGAATAGGAACCTTGGCCATAACCTTACCACTGGCCATAACCTACTGCTGGCCATGAGATGGATTTCCTCTGGCCGACGGACTTACCACTGGACATGGGAGACAGCATGTGGTAGTGCACAGCCGCGCCCCCCGCGTTCTGGCCGAAGATGGTGACCTTGTCTGGGTCTCCGCCGAGGTCGCGGATGTTGTCCTGCACCCAGCGAAGGGCCATCGCCTGGTCCTTCAGCCCCAGGTTGCCAGGGAGCTCGGCGTCCTCGGTCGACAGGAATCCTGAGGGAATCGACCGCATTAGCCCTTCATGGCTCTGGTGCAATGACGCGAAAGCGAGAATTGACAAAATGCACTAGATGAAAAATAGTCTTAATCAGATACTCAGCGTAATCCCATCTGATCACCGACAAGAAAGCCACTTTCGCACGCAACATGCCAACATAGACACCGGAAGCGGCACCGACACGAACCCAGGACGCCGAGGCGGTGCTGCAGGACGACGAGGACCACGTCCTTCGCCAGGAGGAACTCCGGCTGGAACAGGGGCGTCGCGTCGCTGATGAAGCCTCCTTGGGGAAGCCACACCATCACGGGGAGGTCAGTCCGGTTGGGCTGAAACGCCATTCGGATTTCTAGTTGTAAGTTACCTGGCTTATTTGTTTAAGTAGTATACCAAAATCTTTGTAAAGGAGGCAGCAGTGGTGCTGGAACCCATCTGGGCGAGGAGGAGCAAAGGTCACAAACCCACTGGCTGTTCCCCGGCAGCGCCTCCAGCCCGCGCGCTCCTCCTCCCGAGGCGACTCACCTGCGGCGTGAACACGGAGAGGTAGAGGCAGTCCTCCTGCATCCAGTCCGAGGGCGCGTCCGGCTGCGGGCACAAGGGCGGGGCCACGGTGCCGTTCCTCACGCCCTCCCACGCCCCGGCGGCCACGGGATCCTGCGGGGGATTTTTCTCTGTGACGCTCGGGGAAGGGATTGGCGCTGGCATGCACGAAGTTAGGCAGAAGTTGACCGGAATATTGTGGTTGGTGTAAAGATTATAATAGTGGAGATATATCTTAAAAGACGACAGGAGACATCCGAGTTAAATGAAAAATCTGAAGGAGAAACGTCGATCAAGCAAAACATGAATGGAAATAGTGAAATCATGCTAAAAGAAGAGATTGGGGTTAGCAGAAGGAATGTCGGAACAGCCGCGGAATCACTTTGGAGAAGGGGTTCCGAGGCCTCCGTGGGGCTGACCGAGTCTGCGCCCGTCCGCCCCGCCTCTCCCTCTCCCCGCCCTTCCCTGACCCCCTGATCCTCCAACCTCTCCCCTGACCCCGGGCCGCTGACCTTGAACCTGAGTGCCCC